TCTGAAACTTTAATTCAAAATAACTTAGCATTTGTATCCATTTATACAGAGTGGCATTTTGGAGAGGCAATCAGCTCTCTAGAGCCTTGCTCTAGAGTACAACAATAGTGCCCTACTCAGGAATTGAACCAAAAAGCTTCCAGTCATGAGTTCACACCCCTAACTATTTATTTCACACTGCTGCATCTGCACATACTGCTCCATTGTAGTAACTGCAACCCAACACATTTTCTACATGTGCTGCTGACAAAGGGAAGCATGACATATCGCAAATTCCCTCAACGGGTGTGCAAAGTATCGACCCAGTTTATTCACTGGAACAAATGCAGTAGCTGAACAATATTCAAGGAGACACATTGAGCAACTATGAATTTCTAACAAAAAAGGCTCCATCCCAAACATAGTGATGTCACTGATTACGAATAGATGAGTGTAACCAAGTGCTGGGTTCACTTCTAGCTGGAATTCCCCAATAGACTGTGTCAAACTTCTTCAGACATTGTCTAAAATGATCAGTGCAGTTATGAGATGTTATAGTGTCATTCACAGCATCAATAAGAAGGCACTTGCAGGAGATTCACATGTAATCACACTTTCACAATTCAGATGGCGCCTCTGCACCTCAAGCACCTCTGTAATTGCCTTCAACCATTCAGCAGCTATACCTACAACACACAAATGTAAAGGCCTTTTATAAAATGCAGATGCCTTGCAATAACCACTGCTAATGGCAGCCATGCAAGACATTGCTAGGGTTGTGCATCTTACTCTTACTCTTAGGTAGTGCAACTATAGTAATGCTTCAACCATTGTTGATGTAGTTGTACATCCTGTACCTCAAAACCATACCATGTTGTCATTCCAATTGTTATATGAATGTTTATTAAATTAATGTACAGAATAAAAGTATTTCCTTGTGGATAAAAAGACATACTGCACATGCAGAGATTTTTAGGTTAAAAAAGTGGAGAACTGTCTTTTTATTTTATGGGAGTATTAAAATTAGAGAATCCCCTGTTGAGATGTCTGTCTCCTCTAGCAAAATTTTAAAATAGTAAACCTCTCCTAGGAGTTTTCCAGCAGCTTTTTATGTGCATCAGATACACAGGATCTGATTGAAAGCTACGTATGTTTCTGTATGTGCGTTTGTGTTCTAATTTTAGAAAGAACAAATAATAGTTTTATTTTTTACCAGTTTTCAGGTAATTTAACATGTAATATTCAGAAGTAAAATGAAAGAAAAGAGAAATGCATAGCAGATACACTCAGTAAAATGAACAGTAAAACTAAATTATATGTCAAAAGTAAGAAGAACGTTTTTAAGTGAGTTTTAAAAGATAGTCAGCAGTCACTGTGTCTATAATGAATTTTGGCACTGAGTTCTACTGACGTGATGATGCATAAGAGAAGGGACTTTTACCTGTTGTGAGGAGCCTGGCTTTTGGCAGAGTAAAAAGACCTAAATCAGCAGGTATCAGATTAAAAGCCTCAGACATGAGCAGGAGTATTTTAAAGTGCACTCTAAATTTAATAAAAATTCCTTACACTTATATATTTTTCTGGACACTCCACTCAAAAGTGCTTTACAGGCCATGAGGACTCTCCTCCACCAAAACCTATGTGTAGCACCCACCTAGATGCGACACAGCCAAAGTACACCAGTACACTCACCACACATCAACTATCAGAGGCAAGAGAACAGAGTAATGAAGCCAATTTATAGACTGGGATTAGAAGGAGACCATGGTTGTTAAAGGCCAGGGGAAATTTGGCCAGGACAGCAAGGTTACAACACTACATGTCATATTTTACAAGGAGCCAGTGAGATTTATATTAGACAATAGTAAAGATATAGAGTACTTTTTAGTGAGCACATGAGCTGTGAAAGAAGGTAAAAGATACTGTTGTAACATTCCATTTAAAAAAAATAATCAACTAACAATACATCATAAAAAATAGCACCAATGTTTCAAACTTCAGTCTAGCGTTGGATTTCACCACTGTGTAACAACACTAAGCCAGCTTTGCAAACCTTTTGTGAGCATAACCTCTGCCTTGTCACAGTTTAGTTTAAAAATAATCTGGTTCATCCATAAGAGGAACACCTGTAAAGTGCAGACACT